CATAATGAAAGTCTTGGTAATTTGGATGGTATTTTCTCTTCCTTGGACAACGATCTAAAGAAAAAAATTTCAATTTTTCTTTCAAGACTTCCTAAGTTGTTTGGTGAAAGACTGATAGATAAATTATTAACTTTGACAGTATGACATATGGAGAATTAATCTCACTATGTACTGCCAAAGGAATTGCTATTTGTAATGACTTCACCCTTAAGCAACAACTTAAGAAACAAGGAGTTATTACACCTCATGAACTAGAAGAATGTTACAATCAAATTGGATACAAAATTGAAAACTCAAAATAAAGGTATAAACACTCGGAAAACAAAAGGAGTTTGAGAGAAATATTTTCTAAAGAAAACATTGAAGAAAAAAGACTTAAGAAAATAGTTCGAAAGATAAGAAAACATTTCCAAAAGAAGAGCGTCTTTCAAAAATCATTTGCTGGTAATGTAAAAAAATTGGAAACTATGCCATGTAAATCTAAGGTTCAAGAATTCCAATTAGAAAATTATCTTAAAATTAGGAACCCTACTATTAAACCATTGAATATTAATGACGATCTCAAAGATTAACTCTATCTCGTTATCCATAGGCATGATGAAAATTCCGATAATTCAGATGATTTTGTCTCTTCATCAAAAGAAGAACAAAAGAAAGTTTCTTCAATTTTTTTGGGACTTCCTATGTTGTTTGCTAAAAGAGTGAGAAATAGGATTATTTCTCGACAAGCAAACAATATTATTAACTTTGACAGCATGAAATTCGGAGAACTAATACCAATTGTACTGCTTAAAACATTTTCACAAGAAAAACGATTTTTCAAAATTTAAATGTTGGAAGGGTAAAAAATTTGGACACTATGATTTGTAAATTGAAATTTCAAGAGATCCAACTAGAAGATGATCTTAAAATTAAAATAGCTACTGTTGAATCATTGAACATTGATTATGATCTTAAATATCAAGTTTGTCTTGCTATCCTTAGGATTAATGAAAGTTCTTATAATTCGGATTAATTTTTTTTTTTTTCATTAGAAGAACAAAAGAAGGATTCTTCAATTCTTCTTCCAGTACTTCCTGAGCTGTTTGCTAAAAGTGTGAGAAATAGAATTATTTCTCACCAAGGAAGCAATAGGATTAACTTTGACAATATGACATATAGAGAATTTATTGAGAATATGTACCGACGAAGAAGTTGTTATTTGTAACGATTTAAACCTTGAGCAACAACTTAAGAAACGAGGAGTTATTAATTGTCATAAATTAGGAGAATTTTGCAATCAATTTGGATGAAAAATTGAAAAGCCAAAAAAAAAGGCATAAACACTCCTAAAACAATAGGAATTTGAGAGAAAAAAAATTTCCAAGGGACCAAAACAATTTCAAAGGAAAAACAATCCTTCAAAAGTTAAATGTTAGAAGTATCAACAATTTGGACACTATGCCTCTAAATATAAATTTAAGGTTCAAGATATGCAATCAGAAGAAGAACAAAAGAAAGTTTCTTCAATTTTTCTTTTAGGTCTTCATAAGCTATTTACTGAAAGAGTGAAAAATCGATTTATTTCTCAACAAGGGAACATTAGGGGGTGTTTGGTAATCATTTTTATGTAAAAATGCATTTTACAATAGTAACTTGATGGGAAGTGTGTGGTTGAAAGATAAGAATTTTTTTTTTATTTACGTGTAATATTATTTTAATAAAGAACGTGTGGTTGAAAAGAAGAGATATAAAAATGTATTTTGAAAAAAAATGAGTACCAAACAGGGACTAGTATTGACTTTGACCTCTACATATGGAGAATTAATGAGGTATGTACCCCTGATGGAGTTGCTATTTGTAATGACATGAACTAGAACAATTTTGCAATCAAATTGGATACAAAATTGAAATGTCAAATAAAGGTATAAACACTAGGAAAACAAAAGGAGCTTGAGAAAAATTCTGTAAAGAAAACTTTGAAGAAAAAAGACTTAAGAAAACATTTCCAAACAAAAGAAAAACGGTCTTTCAAAAATTAAATGCTGGAAGTATCCAATTTCTATCCATATTGGAGTCGCTATATATAACCCTATAATGGATATGAATTGTAATGAGAAGACTCTACACACTATTATATTACTTGTTCATCATCCTGTCCACTTTCGGGTTTTCGAAGGGTCATTCTTCTTCTTCTTCTTTTGTTATCTCCTCTCCTCTCTTCACTTTTCTTTTCTTTGATGGTATTTTTGCCCATTCGCCCTTTATTTACGTTTTAAGCTTTTTTTAAAAACATGGGTCAAAGGCCATAGTGGGAAGACTTCTACCATTTCCTCGACTGGGGTAGGGTTGGGAAAGAAATGTGAAAATTGTTAGTTGTATGATTTCGTGGAATGAATTTATGGGAGAGATGGAAATTTGTTTACTGTACGTGGTGGCGTAAGGAGGAGAAAGAAAATCATTTTTTTTAGTTTTTAATTTTATAATAATTTATTTAGGACTCATTATATATATATATATATATAGGAGTATGGTTATAATTAGTTATTTTTATTTTTATTTTATTTCATTTAAATATGATAGTGCATTCGTCATTTTATAGTTTTTTTTATTGAAAAATTGGATGAAAATAATGCTTTTCGAAATAAAATTTTGAAATAGGGGGAAAATTATAAAAAAAAAAATGCAACGTTGAGATGTTTTGCACAACGAACTCCATATATAGGCATGTTTTGTGCTAATATCAACAATCATTCTACAGTACCATCCTAGTTGACAAATAGGTTAACATAATGTTAGATGATAGTCTATTATTGAATTAAAACACTGTCAATATTTTCACTCACAAAAGAATTTGTCAACCTTTATGTCACAATTCACCTGACCAAGTGATTTAATCCCTTATTATTTTTCAAATGTTTTCTACTATCGGGTCTCGTCCTGTCTATTTAAAAAAAGGGAAGTCCTATATAATGGTGTCCACAATTATACGTGACACCGTATCCAACATTTAATTCAAATCTCACACTTGTACATCAATAATCGAATGATTGTCACATCACATTATGAACAACATTATATGCAATAATTATGTATAAGTAAAATTTATTTCCAAAAAAACCCTACCCAAATGTCCATCGAGGTTGAGAAACTCCACGTGGGTGGCTAAAAATACACAATTAGATTTTTATGGCTATTGATTTGGACGCAAAACCAAATAAATATCCAATCCAAGGACCGACAGAGTCTAAGAGAAAGAATTCGACGATTCGTTTTGTTTTTTGCGCAGTCAGAATATGAAGAAAATAGCAATAAACTGATGAAATGGAAGCACGCTCTGTTCTCTGTAGCATTGCAATCCCACCCTTTTCTCCAAATACAGTTGAGAATGTAAACTGTCACAGTTTTCCCTACTGCCCATTTATCTCTGCTTCTAAACCAACTTTGAATCTCCAACTTTCTTCGTTAAGAGTGAATTGTTATTATAATGGGAGGACTTATGGAGATGATGAACCTCTCACCACTTCTTTGGCCTATGAATTGCTTGGTGTAGCCCCCGATTGCTCATCTGCACGGCTCAAGGCTGCCTTTCGAGCCAAAGTAAGTAATTCTTCCGTTCTGTTTTGATTCTGTAATTTGACCACCTTCTCATATTTAAACATTTGGGGTCGTATGAGTTCTAATCGATGTGCGCGTAGAAGCAGAATTTACTATTGATTCTAGGGTTCCAGGAGAATTTACCTGTTTGAGCTTTTAGAAGAATCCAATGCTCAGTTGAGCTTTTTGGGCTTGGTTCCATCTTAAAATGTCTAACCAAAGTCGATTACTTGATTCATTATTGTTTTCTTGTCTGGAATTTTTTCCTTTTAACAATTTTACTTCGTTTTTTATGTTAACTCATTTTTGTTTTCAATTATTTTTTTGTGGTTACAGGTTAAGCAGTTTCATCCAGATGTGATGAAAGGTGGGGAAGATTCGGATATAATGATTCGGCGTGTAATTCAAGCCTATGAGGTACTAATTTTTGCAAATCCTTTTTCAATAAACTATTAATTTGTCTCGGGTAGAAATTGATTATTACTGTTAAACCAGGAATTTATCTATTTGTATTTATTTCTTACACTCCTCGATGTCCAGATTCATTCTCTGAGAGGAGAAAGGGAAATCCTGGTTTGATATCCATCCAGAATGTAATTTGAAAAATTGACTGCTTATACAAAAAAAGTTTTATGTATAATTACCATTCACAGTTTCTTCACTTCCTTGGAACTCGTATTGGGATGCTTGTGTATTTAGTGTAGTGGATATCAGGATACAATTGTTTGCAAGATGGTATTACAATTTTGGAACTTCACGGATTTTTGGTGGAAGAGTCGTCCACTTAAAATCGAAGAGTTCTATGTACCAAATTGTTTATAGAATCTTTTTCTATTTTCAAGTTTGTATGGTCTCGAAGGCTCTTAATTCTGTCACCATTCTCTGTACTAATATCAAATCTTTATGGAAATTTCCCAAATCATGTTCTTGATACTTCTATTTCTTTTTTCATGTTTCTCCGTGTCGGCATAAAACTTTTTATTGAATTCTAAACATATATCCTTTGGCGCGAGGACACTGACTAATATAAAGATTTCTTGAACATGAGCAGATTCTATCCGACTCCAGCAAATCAGAAATTATTGAAAGGTAAACAAAACAAACTATTATAGGTATTTCATGTATAGATGCTCCCCATTTCAAGTCGAAATGCTCCTTGTTGAACATTTCTTTTTCTTTTATATTTTTATTTTTTTATTTTTTTATTTTTTTTTTGTTCTATAACTATTTCATGTTTGCAATTTCAAAATAACCAGTGTGAGTTTAAAGCCTCAATTGCTATTTCACAGTAAAACCTGCATGTTCCATGAACCTTTATATATGCTTTTAGTTACCTATAATCTGTTATGTTTATCTCCCTAGTCAATGTCAAGCCAGTTTATGAATTCTTCTGAATGACATAAAAGCCTCTACAGCTCCAAACATACAGATTTCCACCATTAAGGCTGTTTGTGCCAATTCATTTTTCAGCAATTCCTTCTAGAAATAATATTTATGTAACTAGTGTTTGGTGTGTAGGGAATGTCTGGATCCATTCAATCAACCAGAATGTGAAGCATTTGATATTTTTGTCAATGAGGTTCTTTGTATGGGCGAAGGTACCAATTCTTTAATAATTCATTCTAATTTCTGACATCATGGTATACAGAAATTTGAATTTGGATTCTTGTTTAGCCTTTGGCTTAAATGTCATGATCAAAGCAGTATGAGAATCCCCTTTAGCTGTTCACTTCCTCACTAGAAACTTCACCTACAAATCAGCAAAATGTCTAAAGAGAGGCAATTGACTTAAGATGAAAGTGTTCAATTCAACTCGTTCCTCCGCTGCATGTCACTGGTGGGGGCACCGTTACAGAGCAAGGGAGAGGATGAGTCACGTGCATACGAAGGGAAATGAGGGGAGAGAGTTTCGTGATGGAACTGTCTTTAGCCGGCTTAAAATTGCTGAAAAGGAAACTGCGGAAATGTATTCTGTAACAAGCTGAATGCATTTCCTTCCACTTCTAATCACTCAAATGGCTATTGAGTCTGATGAATAAAATAATTCATCCTACTTTCTTGGTCAGAACTTTTGTACAAGACCTTAGCATCTGTTCATGTATTGCCAAGGTTGCTGAGTCATTGGTATCAAACTGCTTTGTTTTATTACTGCCGTTACTCCAAGTATACCAAATATACATCCGTTCATTATGTTAAGATAATCTTCAAAATGTAGAATTCATTCTCTCCAGAAACACACCATGTTTTTTGTCTTTTAACCAATAGTGGTCATAGTTAAGCAGTGGAAAGCAAGCTTCTAGTTCTAATGAAGTAAAAATTTAATCAAAATAGATGTCCCAGTAACAGATGTTGCTTGTATAATTTTTTCTGTTGGATAGCGTACATAGCAAACAGGTGACTATGTAGCAAATTCAAATACTTCTGTAAATTTATTGATACTTCATGTGAGAAGCATATTTAACCGGGAAAAAAAAAATAATGCTCTTTATCTGTCTTACCCTGTAATGAGCAAAAGCAAAACATTTAATGGTTAGGGCTTTTTGAAGTGTTCTTGTCGATAGTTTTGGTATGTCTTGGAGCATGGCCTCTTCAAAATAAGGCTAATAAAGAAAGAGAATTCTGGGCTCATTACACCTACTTGATTGTATAGATATCATCTTGACTCTGAGGCTATTTGCAATGCAGTTGGATTTATTAAAGAGTATGATTATATTCTGGTGGTGATATTAGAAAACGGACCTAAAATGTAAAATGATATTGTAAAATGTGTTAATACTCTTGTGCAACAAAATCATTTTGACCTAAATCTCGTGAAACATTAGTAGCACTTTGAACCAAGTCATAATCTAGATGTAGGTAACTTGCTTCAAGGCAATGTCTCCATTCTTAGTAGTAAATCAAGAAGAATATGTATATATCATCCCTGTTATATTTCTAACAGAGAAAAAACTGTAATGTAAATCTGAAAATTTTATTACTAATGGATAAGGATCTTAACATGTACGAAACCTCTACTTGTTTTTTTATATTTTTATCATGCATAGAAAATAACAGATTACTTGTTCTTGATTTGCCCTCGTCTTCATATATGCAGGCTGTCCATATTCGTGTGTGAATAGAGCACCCCACGCTTTCACATTTTCTTCATCAACAGGAACTGCACGTGCGACTTCTCAAGGTTGACTCTTCCCTCTTTGTTATTTATTGTTTAGTTTAGACGCATTATAATCTAAATAATATACTTGAAGAATGGGGAATTGGTTCTATGAATATGAGAAGTTCACTTGGATGTGATTGTACTTGGTGTAAAAATGTCATTGCTAAACTTGTTTTATCCCCTCTATTTTATATTGTTATTGGTAATTCCATTCTTCATTTATGAAGGGCGTGGTGAAGACTATCAAATTCAGATTGCAACTGGTCAGTGTCCAAGAAATTGTATTCATTATGTTACACCATCTCAGAGAATTATTCTGGAAGAGCTTCTTGACAGGTATTTTATAGTACTCATTAACGTCTCTCCTCTCTTTTATTTCTAGCAGTAGAAACCCATTCTTGTATTTGGTTTTAATCTCTAATCTTTTATACCTCCGTGATCTTTGTAGCATCATGGAAAAGCCATATGATACTTCAGCCGAGGCTGACTTGCTTTATTCTCTCATTGTCAAAGCAAAATACGAGAATAATCGGTATCAAAAGCCTTAAAAGCAGTCCAAGCTCTTGTGTTGATATGGTTTTAAATGTCCCATCGGTCGAAGAAATGAATGCCTATCATTCTCAGATGCCAATGCGTATGATGTACAGCCGGAAATAGTGGGAATATACGGCTCCAGGGTATTGCAGAAGGCACAATTAAGGTTTTGCTTTTAGTATTATATATAAATATATGTTGTATTAGAGATGAACATTTTTGTAACTATTGTTAATTATTCTTTTATTTAATACTTTACATATATGAATAGGAAAACATAGTATGTTCAGTGATTCAAGATGCAAAAACATATTTCAAGTAGGTGCAAGTTGTATGAAAAACGGACGGAGGGCAAGAAAATTGGTACATTGATTGGTCTTCGTTCTGTTGAGAGATGGGTGAACCACCCAATAGTAACACATTTGTTCGTTCCATTTTCAATGTTGACACTGTTCTTTCTTTATGAGAAAATAATATCGAGGTCAACAAATATATGAGGTGGCAAATTGATATTTTAACAATCAAGTGACACTACTCATTAAGATAATTATTGATGATTATTTAGTATTATTATGATATACAAATAAATATTATCTACTTCAAAGAGTCAATTTCATTCCAATTGCAACTCTTATTTTAGATCCTATAAATATGGGTTTTCATTTGCAATGATTTACACACTAGAGTTTTGGCTCTCTATTTTCACTTTTATTTATTCTTCTTATTTATCTAGTTATCAGCACAAAAAGGTAGTAGTGGTTTTTTATATTCATGCATAGAGTTAAGTATTTGAATTAATCACATTTGTAATTCATCTCTCTCAATGAATGTTCATGCATTCGTAATTGATGTCCGTTTAATATGCAATTAATGTTCATCAATGAGTTAATCATGTCTTTAATTTCATGCATCCATACAGTTCAAAATTAATCGTGCTAGTCTCTCAATAAATGTCGAGAATTGATGTTCAAAATAATCGAGTTATATCTTTTTCTATTAGATTCGCACATCACAACTTTTACACTAATAATGTGAATTATACGTTTATGATTATTAAATATTCTGTATCTTTAACCTGATTAAATTTTTTAGATGCTATTTTATGAATTTTAAATTGATAAATTATTATGTTATTGTTCCTAAAGTAGCACAATATTATAATAAATGTAATAATTCGCAGCATTCTTTAACATGAATTCAGGTCAAGAAACTTACTTGAAATGATGAATTTTAAGATCTTTTAAATAGTTGAATCCCCTTATATTCCGAAACTCCAAAATCTGCATTTTCTTGTCATCCAATGATCCCAACCCCAATCACAATGAAAGGGGATTATTATCCATAATTTAAGTGCATAATTTTGTGAGTTTCATGCTATATCTATGGTTCTAGACACTTTTCTATTTTTGAGTGATTTTTTGTACGAAGTTCACTCATTTTCTACCATATTTTCTCTCTCCATTAATATACAAAAATTAGATGTTTTATGGGAGTTTGGGAGGCTATGGTGAGTTGTAGATTTGAACTTAAAATTCAAATCACTCATTCCAACCCTTTTAATAACTTGTGAGTCAAGTCATCCCACATGAAGGACTGACGACCCGTATTTTTTAACGTCTCCCACTCGCACATGATGGACTTGATTCGAACCACAAATGACCACAAAAGTCACATTTTAGATCCATCTTAAGATCTATTTCACAAAAAATTCATACAGCAAATAGACCGTACGACCAATGAGTAATATTAGAACTCACAGTACTATAAACTTGTTAGGGATCGTAGCTAGAGGAACAGCACATCTCGCTATACCCTTAACTTATTTTTCAACAGTAATTCAGGTATACAAAGCTCAATCAAGAGTTTTTTTTTTATATACAATTATTATCATATTTTAAGCAACTATAGAGATTCGACATCATCAACAAGTATATTTCTAGACATATTCAGAATATGATGAATACATATCATCACTTATGTAGATATATTACAAAGACACTTTCTTTACAAATGTGTCTTAAATAAATATTATCGAATGTTTGATTCCCTCATGATACTTGAGATCCTAACGTATGAAATAGTTACGTAACTATTATAAATCTCATATTCTCAAACAATATCATTAGATACTCAATACATTTATACCAAACAATTTCTTTAGCTACCAAAATATATAGTAAAAGTGCACAAGTCTAATAACTAATTATACTCTACTAACTCTCATTTTTACTCGACAATTGCATATCTATTTCAATCACAAGTTATTCATTTGGCAATGAAATAGATTAACTGATGGTAGCACCCTTTAGATATCACAATACATTTTCTAAAGATAACATTGATATTCACTGACTAAATCCATGGCATAACCAATGTCAGGTCAAGTATACATCACAGTATACTTTTATCTCCTAACTCTTAATCGTATTAGATATAGGTCTCAGAATATTTCTTTGTGCACTTATGGAGTCTTTGGACAATTATGAAGACTTATATGGTCACTTTCCGATATATGAGTATTATTAAGGTAGCAATTCCACATGAGTTTTTATAGTATGAAATTCTTGTGACCAAGTAAGAAGACTTGAATAATATTTTTAACACAAATCATACAATTTGCTAAACTCATGTCCTTTGTCTAAAAAATTGAGGACAACTGTTTCAAATTTGTCTCCATACCCTCTTTATCGTGCTTAGCCAAATTCAATGTCATCAATATCAAAATTAGAATTACAACTCACTATCAAACATTTACATAAATATAGTAAATTTCATCCATTTGACGAATTTTTTTTGTACAAGATTAAACCCTATTAAAAACTCTAGTACGACTGTCAAGATGACTAGATTGGGTCATGAGTGTAACTACAAAGCTACCACAATACTAAAAGGCCTTTGACATGAAATTTACAAGTCGATTCATTTTTATCTCTTTAATCATTTCTCAATTGAGAATAAAAATACAATCTCTGGGTCTATTTGGTGTAGTTATAAATTTAAAATACTATCATGGCTAGCAAAGATGTATAGAAGCGAATCACAGTGTTATCAAAAAAAATTATCAGCTTAATGCACTCATATTGAGTATAACATTTTTTAAAAAGATGAGATTTATCTATCAAAAACTCATTAGTATTCTACTTAATTTTTGTAGAAGCCCGAGAAATAAAATGAAATTAGGCTATTATTTTGTGATGATCTAGCACCACGAGCCTAGCTCATTTAAGAAACGAGCTATGAGAGCTTAACCCATTTAAAATTATGAAAGCCCAAATCATAAGTTAATTAAAAGTCCAAAATTTAAGAGATTAAATTTAAGTAAATTTGATTACAAAGAGTTAATAAATAACTGGGTTGCTTCAATGATCAGATCACATGGTACTTCATATAGGCAAACCATACTCGAATCACCATGTAGATGTTTTTATAAAACTTGTTATATGAATTATTTTTTATGGCTTAGAAACTCTTCAAATTTTTAGTTAAAAACCAAATTAACAAATTTAATGAATATATAACCCCCCCCCCCAATTTAGTTTTTCATTAAAAAGGAAGGTTACAAGAAGAGGAATGTCACTTTTTCATTACACCTCTCCTCAAATTCGAATTTACTCTTATTTTTCTCTCAAATATACTTCATGTCAAGTTAAGTTTAAGGAATGAAAGGATGTGAAGAAGAAAGACTTTTTACACATTTGATTCTTTTATATCCAAAAAAATTCAAAGTAGGTAGAGATGCAAGTGTTTATTTCGTTTTCAAATTATGATTTTTCAATAAATGTTTGAATGAAATGGTACCTCTAGGTACGATGCTTCGGTACTACAACACTTTGAATGATCATTCTTTGCTCTACGTGTTATGATAATGCTATAATAATTGGATTTTGCCGAAAATCCATCTACGTACGACGGTATGAATCTATAGTTTGAAATTTTTAATTTGATAATGAAATGCACCGATAATACCTATTGAGTTTCAAACTCATGAGTAATTCCCTTCCTACAGGTTGAATGATTTTCCATAAGACGTGGATGATGGTAAATGATCATGCGACATGCCAAGGAGAAAGTCGGAGACTTGAAAATTTTAATAAAATT